GGAGGAGTGATAGGGAATGGCAAGGGACACACTGACAAAGGAGATTAATCAGAACTGGCTTTGACAAGCACTGTGGCAATTGGACAATTAAAACAGACATGGCCGGGGGGAGAAGAACGAACTGGGGATGAGGGTGGAGAAAACTGTGCAACAATGAATGAATGAAAACCCAAAATCTCTGTAAGTGTTCATTAAAACTAATAAAATTTAATAAAAAAAAAAGAAGAATCAGTGACACTCAAGAAAAAAAAAAAGAAGCAGGCTCTGTCTAATAAAACTTTATTTACAGATGTTAAATTTGAATTATAAATATTTTCTCACTTCCAAACATACTATTTTGACCATTATTATTTACTGTTATTACTTTTTAAAAAAAAATTAAATATTTTAAATACATTCTTAGCTCAAAGGCCATGGAAATACAGGCAGTGGCCCAGAAATGGCCTGTGAGCAGAAGTCTGCCAACTCTTGATATAAACAGCTGTCAATTTATGATTTTATAAGCAACTCAGTTGCATCTTAGATCCTACTTCAGTGAAGAGTTTAATATATTTCCTTTTAAAGCTATAGCAACTTACCTTAGAACTAGAAGCATTTAGCATAGTAGCTGAAATTCCTAATTGCTTTAAAACCATTAACTGGTCTTCCATGAGAGAAATTAATGGACAAATCACAAGTGTAAAACCTAAGAGAGACAAAAATCTACATTAAATTTTCCAACAGCATCAAGATGAGTTGCCACCATTTCAGTTCTTTATTACAACCTATCAGTAGAGTCTAATAAAATATATTATCTCTAATCCTAATTAATAAAGGATGTAGGTTAAGAATAAATGGTGATAGATGACTATAACTAAATCAATATTAAACAGAAATTTCTTGCCTTGTTCACATTCAGTAAAAATAAAAACAAAAACAGGTATTACCATTTTGACTGTTAGTCTCAATAAAGTAATATAAATCATGTCAAAGAATATTCAGTTGCATCAGGAAAAAGATTATCCAAAGAGTATTTCAAAGAAAACACAGCAACCTATTTAAATAAGAATGGCAATTGTATGAGTATTCTTCCACTTACTATACCATATTAATTTGGTCTGATAAAAATATATGGTTAACTGACCTTCTCTTTCTAGCTTTTCTCTTATAACAGAAATTGTTCATTTGCTCAAGAGCTATTCTACATTATTAAAATCACACAACCATAGGTTTCTGTAGTTTGCTCCCAAATACAAACCTAAACCTATTGTTGTGGAGTGTATTCCGACACTACAGGTCAGCTAGGACACAGAATTGCTTCAAAGGATTTCCAAGCTGTAATCCTTTTTTTTTTTTAATTTAAATTTATTATTAATTTCAGTAAAAATTTACAGAGGCTTTGGATTTCCATTCATTCATTGTTGCACATTTCTCCCCTCCCAGCCCTCCCCCGCAGAACACTACCCTCTTGGAAAAGTAAAAGTCTTTCATTGTTTTACAAACCCTCCCCCAGGTCCACTCCACCATGTAGCCTTCACTCTGGACTCCTGTCATGACAAAAATACCTAATCACATATCTCTTTTAAACAATTTTCTCCCTCATCTGTTTCAATGTACATTATTGAACCTATCTTTCAATCTCTCCCCAAACCCAAGGTCAGTCCTGTTTTACAACAGTAGCACCATGCAGTATTTGTCCTTTTGTGACTCAGATACTTCACTCAGCATAAGGTCCTCCAGAGTCACCCATTTTTAATAATATTGCATGAGTTCCTTGTTTTTCAATGCAACATAGTATTCCATTATGTGAATATACCACAGCTTCTCTATCCATTCGCTGGTTGATGGGCACTTAGGTTGTTTCCAACTCCTTGCTATTTGGAACAAAGCTGCAATAAATATGGGTTTGCACCAAGCTGTAATCTTTCTAAGCCTGAGTGGCATAGTGCATTACAAGTTGAGCTGCTAACTGAAAGGTCTGAAGTTCAAATCTACCATGGATGAAAGACAGGCAGTCTCCTCTCATTTAGTGTACAGCCCCAGAAACCAATGGAGAGTTGCTATTCTTAATGAGCAAAATCAGTATTTTCTCTTGTTGTGTACCACTGAGTCGGATCCAATTGGCACAGAAGGAGATTTCCCCTCCTTCTCCAGCGAAGCAGCTGGTGGATTTGAACAGCATGCCTTCAGGATTGCAGTGCAGCTTCTTGCCACAAGGCCATCAGAGCTCCCTTAAAAATCCATTTTTTTGTTTGTTTGTTTGTTTTTTCTTTTTTTAGGAGCCTGTTGAAAATGCAAAACTGGCCCTCACACTAAATCACAACCTATATATTAGTAAGCTGCCCAGGGAATTCCTATGCATACAAAAGTCTGATAAAGCACTGATGGACACTCTGAACACTGGGATCACACCCATTTTGCTCAGTATTGTGTCTCTAGTGCTGGCACCACAGCTATCATTCCAGTACCTTCTCCCCATAACATATTTTTAAATTGTGTTTCCAAAATTAGAGAAGAAACATTGTTCTCAGAAGTTTTTCATTTGCATTTATGCAAATTCTTCAATTGTGTATTAATACAGAGATAAATTTTTGGTCTTTGACCAAAAATGGGCTTGAGTTTTACCTGTATGTGGCTAGATATTACTTTTCAGAATGATATTTCTTCACCTTAAAGATAGTACATACCATCTGAACATAAAGCTGGTAACTGATAGCATAAGCTCTTTCCACCTCCTGTCGGCATAACAAGAAATACTTCCTTTCCAGACATCGTTACATTAATAGTTTCAAGTTGAAGGGATCTGAACTTCTGGAGTTTAAAAACATTTTGCAAAACATCCTTAACTTTATCAGACCAGGGAAAATCTAGAAAATGAAAAATAAGCTAAAATTATTAAAACTATCAGGGTAGTATATGAAACACACACTTGAATAACTACATCCATAACAACAAAGTACCAAACAAACATAACTATATAAAAGAGTTTAATATTCATGAAACATTAAACTTTTATAATAATATTTTTGAAATTAGCTTAACTCGTTAAACTAAGTAAAACCAAAAATAAATGAAATGACCTAGTTCGAGAACTATTGTATCAGTGTCTTTCCTCTATATTTGCTTTCCAGGAAGGAGGTCCTTATTTTGAAATATAACTTTCTAATAAATGTATCTTTACATTTTACCTTTAAAAAAACCAAAACCTGTTGACCAGTGGAAGATTAATTCTCATAGAAAGTGAGAGTGTTTACAAGGTATTTGTAAAACTGTAGGGACAATGATCAGAAATTTCAAAGTATCACAAAAACTAAATATCAGGGAGAAAAGAAAGCAAGTATCTGGAAATTTTGGTAGAACTACTTTGCTGAAGAGCAAATCAGTAGTAAACAATGCCTTCTCAAAACTAGGAATTCTTTTTAGAGCTCTGATATTTTATCAGACATAATAAACATGAAGTCTGGCAAGATCTCCCATTAAGAATGGTTTGATCAGGAGGGCAGGGAAATTAACAAGGAATTTTAATAACTGTATGTTTATTAATATTATTATTCTGTATGTACCGTCAAATCGGATCTGACTGGTACAGAAGGAGATTGCCCCTCCTTCTACAGCAGAGGATCTGGTGGATTCGAACTGTGTGCCTCTAGGATTACAATGCAGCATCTTGTCAATAACTGTATTTTTCTAATTACTTTTTTTAAGTTATAACTTTGAAAATTTATTAGACTACAGATGTTCTTTTCCAAGCATTGAGTAAGGATTTTAGAATCATGTTTGGAAATAATCATAGAATCTGAGTAAAAAGAGCTGAATTCACAAAGCAAAGCCTACAAAAATTAGGTAGACATAGTTTGCCTCCAAGCTTCTCATTCTTCTTAGGAAATTATCAGCCCTACTTCTAAGCATAATGACACATGCAAAATAACTCTAAATTGAAAGACATGAGAAAACTTAAAAAAAAAAAAAAGACACACACGCAAAAAAACCCCCACAACAAACCAACTGACAACAAATTTAAATAAAAAACAAGTAAACCTTCTTTATTCCAAGCTTCGGGGGAAGAATCATAATCATTGCTTGATCCAGCATCAGGAGTCTCTAAACACTGCTTTATTTTCTTTGTTAGGACTTCTTTTCTCTGAGTAAGTTCTTGTTGCCTTTCCAAAAGTTCTTGAATTTGAATGTCTACTGCATGGAGCTCACTGGTTACAGACTCCAGTTCCTCAGTTAAAGCTATGAGGAAAATAAAAAGATAAAATGATTAACTGAACTTAAAACTCATCTTTCTCTCTCAGGGAAGCTTGTGGATTTCAAATCACCCACTGACCTCAGTTAACAGACTAACAGGTTACACACTATGGTATGGATGATGCAGGACAGGTAAGGTTAGAACTGTTGTTCATAGAAGGGCTATGATAGACTTGATGTCAGCTAACAACAACAAAGTCATCAGAGCTCCTCTGGAGTCATACAGACCTATGTTAAATCTCAAGTCTTCCACTTGGCAATTTTGTGACTTCAGGCAAGCTGCTTAAGGTATTTTGATCTCCACATCTATTAAAATGAGAATATCTGACTTTCTAGTATCATTAAAATAATCAAATGAGAGAGCATATTAAAAGTTCTTAGCACGGTATATTGACTACATGATAGCTAGGTTTTATGATTACATTGTAGAGAAGTCATCCAGCAATAACCTACATTACTTAAGTGACCAGTATCTTAAAAGGAAGCTACTTAAAAGAAATTCTCTAAATACTGAACTACTGTTTTAAGAAAATGGTAATTACAAATAAGATAATGCAGCAAATAAAAAGGAAATATACTATTAGAATTGGCATTGTTAATTGTCATAATTAATTTAGGAAGACTCCTCAGTATATATAATCTAAATATTAAAAGATGTCCCAAGGCACTATTCTAAGTAAATCAAATATTGAACTCAAATTTCCTATCTTCTGATTAGCAGTCAATTACATTAACTATTTGTTCCACCAAGGATCTCTGAGGGACTTCTGGCCTTCTTAAGGTTAACCCCCACCCACTGAACGTGCAAAACCTAGAATCTTGAGGACAGTTATCTGTAGAAGATAGGCTCGTTTTGCTTCAAAATGCTATTGGTCTGTACTGTGACAAAGGCACCAGATAGCATCTCTATTTGTTAGAGGCATTTCAAACAGTATCATACTTGTTGAGTCACACGGCTCATAGCTTTGCTGAAGAAGTGTTCTCTGGGTTCTCTATGAAAAAGGCATGCATTTTGAATCTGGATTTGCTTCTCCTGCCTGCAGTACAGCTGCCGAACCTGTCACCAAGGAATTTATAGAATACTTTATTGACTCCCATGGCATTCCACACAAAACTGCTTCTGACTAAAGAATCTGCTGTTGCTGTTGTGTACCATAGGGTCGGAAATGACCCATAGCTGACCCTCCGACGGGTCTTCAGAGGCAGTTAATCACACAGTAGATTGCCCATCTTTCTGCAGTGGAGGAGCGGATGGCCTCGAACTGTGTGCCTTCAGGATTGCAGCACAGCTTTTTGCCACTAGGCCACCAGAGTTAGATGAGAGTAAGTAACACTTAACAGAAGGCACATGCTCAATGGATGGATTAGTCAACTCATGTTCTCTGTCACCCTGAAGCACCAGGCCTCACAATTTAACAGAATGGTATTTGTAAAGCTTCATTATGGCTCTTACTGTTAGGTGCCATCAGGAGGAGTACAACTCACAGCAACCCTATGAACAGATCTGAATCCTGTCTTATCCTGAGTCATCTTCACAGTTCCTGATGCACTTGAGCCCACTGCTGCAGTCACCCTGTCAATTCACCTAGTTTAAACTCTCCTTCTCCTTTGCCAACCCTCCATCCTTCCAAACATCATGTCCCTATCCAAGGAATAACCCTCCTAGCAACATGTCCAAAGTATGTGAGACGAAGTTCATCATTGTTGCCTCCAAAGAGCACTCTGGCTTCACCCTTTCCAAGACATTGTGTTTGTTCTTTGGCCATCCATGAGATGTTCAGTGCTCTTCTCCAACACCACAGCTCAAAGACATCAACTCATCTGTTAAGATCCTTATTTATTGTCCAGCTCTCAGATGCATAGTGAGTGGTTGGAAAGATCATGGCCTGAATCAGACGCTCCTTAGTCCTCAAACTGACATCATTACTATATATACAATAATTTGGAGAAGTCCCTAACTTCAGATATTGGGGTAATGCCTTCCAGAATGCCAAAGAAAAAAACCTGTGTTCTTTCTCCTAAAGGCATGCTACATCAGACTGGGAATAAAGAAATGGAAATGACAGTGGCCCACCTCACTTGTCACTTGCTAGTAAAATTTCTGTTTCCCATTCCAGCAAATTTGGGCTGCTGGTCTAGAGGGATGTGGATGTGCAGGGGGAGGGAGTGATTAATAATACAATTTGATGGGTGGGAGAGTGAGGGGAAATTGAAAGAATTTATTTGAATTTATATTCACCTCAAAAGAAATCAGAGCTTCTGCCCAATGTCAACCTTGACAAATTATGGACCTTGGTCAGTGAACAGACAAGGGTAAATGCTGCAAAAACCAAGATTGGAGCTGTTCCCATCATTGATGTGGTTCAATCAGGCTACTACAAAGTTGAGGGCAAGGAAAATCTCTCAAAGCGACCAGGCATTGTGAAGGCCAAATTCTTCAGCAGAAAAGCTGATTAAGGGTGCTGGGGAGGGGGCTGTGTCCTAGGGACTTGAAGTTATGGTAATTATATGGAGGTTCCCTTACGAGTGCAGGTTCTTCAGTGGCACCTGTACCTGTATCACTACTCATGCAGCTAATGCTGAGCAGCATCAGGACCTCTTCCAAGGACGAGGGCCCATGTTTCCCTGTTGAACACTCCTACTGATAGAGATGCCTTAGAACTTCACAGGCTTGGGGCATTATCGAATAAAACACCTGATTTATAAAGTCTGTGGGGGCAGGGAGGAAGGTCAGCAATTTGCATTCATTAGCTGATTCTCAAGATAAAGTCTCCTTTTGTAAAGATTTACAGCCTCAAAAACATAGTGGTGTGTCACTGAGTTAGAACCTACTCATTGGCAATGGATTTACATTAACCAAGATCCGGTTTGGTTAGGTAGCCTCTGTCATCTAATACTGCAGAACATGCTAATAGCAGCCAATGCCTTTTCTCCAGATTTAAGTTACACAGTTACCAAAGAAGATGGGTGAGCAACAGTTAAAGATGGAAAAGAGCCTGAATCCTTTACTGGCAAAGTGAGTCAATGTGGGTTTGTTTGTACACAAGACAGTTGTACCAAATGAGGCAAAAGAATGATTTCGCTACTAACTTTATGTGGAAGCTAAGTGTAATTAAAAGAATGAATTAGTGCCACGGAGAAGAATTGCATTGGGAAATTCAGCTGTGAGGGACCTCTCAAGAGTACTGAAGAGCA